ACATCCATGTTTGGTAACTAATTTGGCAAAACAAAATATATATATTTTAAGAAACTTCGACTGTCAGCCCCTTCCTCCTCACACTTAGTTTCACTTTCTTCTTGTGCAGATCTATTCCACTCCAAACAATCAGAAAAATATTGTTTCTATTCTATTCACTGAACTTCTTGAAACTTGGCACTGAAGGGGTTGATTCTGTATTCATAGGTTTGTAGAAGTTAGGATGAAGGTCTTTTTCTTAACTCTGTTCATGTTATAACATTTTTGCTGTGAAGAAGAGGCATGTGATCTCCGCTGAGTCAAATTCAGTTTTGAGAACTGCAAAAGTAAACCAAACATCTGTGATAATATCTTGTAGGCAGAGAAACTGCCCAATAATCTTACAAAACCTCTGGAAGAGCATGACATTGTGAATGGATTCATGGAATTTATTTACCAAAAAAATTAAACATATACAGCCTTATTCTACATAATTAAAAAACTAATCTTTATTTCATGATGGAATAACCTTTGGATGGTAATATATTTTCCTCAAAAAGCATTTTATTTAAAAAAAATCCGATTTTAAATAAAATCTGATTTTTTTTTTTTTTTAAATTTTTAAAAAAAAATCATTGATTTTTATCCAACCTGGCTGTATCACAAAAAATGGCCCGGTCAGGAAGGGGGGTAAATCCTCTGGAGGGCAAGTGGTTAAAGAAAAAGCCGTGTGCTGCTGATATTTAGCCACAAAGAAACCACTGCAGAAGGAGGTTAACAAAGGATAATTTTGCTACGAAAGGATGTCCCTCATGTCTGGATGTAAGCTAGAAATGTGTTTTTAGAACTGAAATGGGGCACAGTCTTGCTCCACAAACTTTGCCCAATTCAAACTTTTTTTTTTTTTTTTTTTTCCCGTTTTTGAATACAGCATTTTTTTAGCTACCTAGTCAAACGAGAAACCTATAAACATGATGCCTTTATTTAAAGTAACTGAGACACCAGCCAGTGTTTTGTATGTTGTGCTAAAATATGTAGATCTACTTGGTCACCATAAACTGTAGGCAAGTGTGCTAGACTTTTAAAGAACAATCTGGCCAGTTTCAGCATGTGACATACTTGATATTACAGCCAGCATCCAAGGACCAAGTTATTGCTATGTTGGAGAAGGCTAAAACCAGCATGCCAGCCAAACCTGCTGCTCCTGCAGGGAAGACCAACACCAAGCAGGCAGCTGCACCACCTTCAGCTCCTGCCCCAGCTCCAGGTAAGCGTGTGTAGTTTTGACTCTGACTTTCTGTAGTGTGTGGCTTCAAAACTTTTTTTTTTTTTTTCCTCTAACAAGGTTTGGTGCCTGCTGTACCCTTTCATCATTCATTTATTTTTTTTTTTTCCTCTTGCAGCTTTTGATGCTGGACCACCAGCACCTGAGAGTAAGCCAGACCCCAAAAAAGGCAAACCAGGTGCCCCAGCAGCTAAAGGAAAGGTAAGTTGTCCTGTCCTAATGTTATAAGGTGTGTGTGTTTTAAATGTGTAATATATTGGGGTGATATTTTGTTTCACTTTATTTTTGTGTATAAAAACCGATTTTAGTTTTTTTGTTTTTTTTTTTTTTTCTTGGGTTTTTTTTGCTTTTTCTCTGACCAGGAAATCCTAGTGGGGGCACACAAATAACAAAACCCTGACTGTGGTTTTACGATTTCCTTAGTCTTCGCAGAAGTAGTTTTTTGCTGAAGTTAATGTTTTTGTCTATAGTTTACCTATTTATTGAAAACCCATAAAATTTCCACTGAACAAAAAACAGTTTCCTTCCAATACCCCCTTACCCCTACTTGTAGGCAGGACTCTTCTATTCAAGAGTCTCTAGACTTGACTTCAACTGCCAGAAATTCAGTATAGCGACCTTTGTAGGAAGTCTAGGAGAGAGTCATTGGACCTTCTTGTTGGAGCCTAGGAAAGCAGAGAAACTAAATTCTTGCAAAGAGTATGTTCCTGCAGAGTGCTGGAGTCACTTTTCACTTAAGTTGGGCTCCTGCAGCATTTCCAGGATCCCGCAAACAGGCCCGGTGGCACCATAATCGCTTACAGTAAGCAGCCATTAGTGCTAGAAGCTGTTTTGTATGCTTAGACGGAAGTTTTGTGTATCTTTTTGTTAATATTGTGTAAATGAGGAGTCCTTTCTCTGTAGACCCAGTCTGTGTCATCAGAGGGTAATACCAGCATGACCCCAACGAAAGTAAACACCAGCATGTCCAAAGCCAAGACAGCTAAACAGGCGGTAAATAAAAAGGCACTAGGAGGGGATTGATTGCTATCAATGCACGTGTGTGTCTTCTCTCCTGCACTCTGGCTATATTGGCGCACACACTCCGCATAGGCCTGTTTGAGATGGAGGATGATGAGTTGCACTTATGGGTGCTGCGGTGCCGAGCACTGCACACTCTGCAGAGCCAGGCTGCTGACATAACCATGTGCACAGGGGCCAGCTGACTCCATATTACTTATCACTTTCTCTGACTAATCTCAGTGCTGTGCTAAGCATGACTGAGACCTAATCCACACTTTTTTTTTTTTTTTTTTTTTTTGTGGCACCAGTAATAGACCTTAATTAACCCAGTCATTAATTACCCTTGGCTACATTATAACTGGGTCTAATGTTACCACCCCCCAGGCTGTGTCTGCTAAGAAAATGCCCAGCAAGCCGACAGCGAAGGATGAGGAAGACAAGTCTGGACCCATTTTTATCATTGTTCCAAATGGAAAGGAACAGAGGGTAAAGGAAGAGAAGGCTTTAAAGGTGAGTGAAGTGGTGATATGGTGGTTGTGTGTGCTGTTTGATTACTGCATTTGAAGATGATTTGCAATTTATTTTTTTTTTATAGGCAACATTTAAATATGTTAACTGCCAGTAGCATGACCGCGCAATTGTCAGTTAAAATAACGCAGCGCTGTATCACAAAAAATGGCCTGGTCAGGAAGGGGGGTAAATCCTCTAGAGGGCAAGTGGTTAAAGAAAAAGCAGTGTGCTGCTGATATTTATCCACAAAGAAACCACTGCAGAAGGGAGGTTAACAAAGGATAATTTTTCTACGAAAGGATGTCCCTCTTGTGTCTGGATGTAAAGCTAGAAATGTGTTTTTAGAACTGAAATTGGGCACCGTCTTGCACCACAAACTGTTTGCCCAATTCACACTTTTTTTTTTTTTCCTTTTGAATACAGAAATAACTTTATTATATCCTGGAATTGACTGAAAAAAAATTTGGTGCACATCGTACAATGTCACTATGGCACTCTTGTGCTTTGTTCTTCATAGCTGTATAACTACAGTTTTAGAACTTTGGACATTGCTGCCTCCGACTGCAAGTCTGATTTTAGGTTTGAAGTGAGAGTTGGTAATGGCATTGCTATGCAGCTTCCTGATGTTCTGAGGGTTTGCTGGAGGGAAAGCTGTTGCAGAGGATTTGCCAGGTTTTCACCTTTCTGCTTTATTTAGTGAACATATACCATGTCTCCTGCTTCATGTGTAAAACCCCCACCACATGCTTGTGACATGCAGGTCAAACTAAAAAAGAAACTGTCTTCTGTGTGTCCTTTTTTCACACTACAATGCTGCCATTACCTTGGTTGGGTTGCATTGCATTAAAATTCAACAGGTATGTATTTTACAAAGGTCTACAACAATGCTGCGCTGACTTGGGTTTGTGTTGCATTAAATGACAACATGTGGGCATTTTAATGGAATACAGGTTAACGCAGCTCTATAGGGTGAACAGGACACACACAATGTTTTTGTGTTTGTTTTGACCTGCATTTTACATGTGTGCTAAAAGACAGATTAATGCATGTAAAAAAAAAACCCCCAAATCATAAAGTGTTTATAGTGGTGCTAAATAAATGATCAATAATATGTCCCCTGAATACCCATAAACATTAATGGTGACAACACAAACTGTCCGTGATTAATGCGACAGAAATCAATGTAAAAATAAATATAATAAAAAGTGAGTCAATGAAAACACATGATCGTGATCCAAAGTCTATAAAATCAAATCTTCTCCTTCACCATGTGCTTCATAGGAATCCCCCACATGGATGTAAACTCTCCACAAATATTTTCCTTCCGCTCGTGGTTGGCAAACGAGCTTCCTGGGATACTTTTCCCAATTAAAGATGACTTCTAGATAACTTGAAATAAAGATTCCACTGCATCCAAATAGACCATGTAAAACAAACAAAAAACCGCTCCAATGGTGTAGTATGAACAACCAGATCCTTTAATTAAATGATTGGACCTTACTCACAAGAGAACTGATAAAACGAGCCCAAATGCTGTATCCTTTAATAGGTCTGACGTGAACATAGACCAGGTGCTCTCACCACCTCCGGTTTGTTGGTAACAGATTGCATCGCATCACTTCCGGTCACGGTCCACATCACTTCCGGTCACGGTCCACATCACTTCCGGTCACGGTCCACATCACTTCCGGTTGCCGCACTGTCACGCTCTGAGGTGTTTTTGTCACTTCCGACTTACTCATAGGGTCGATTAATACATTAAAACATGACAAATTTAAATTTTCCCTGCATTTTATCGCAAGGCAGTTTGCATTTAACCTCATTGTGGGTTGCCCAGCTGGCATGACCAGAGCCTTGTGGTGGCTTTTTTTTTTTTTTTTTTTTTTAAATATTGGTCTTAACCACCTCCCATCTGGCCGTTGTGTATATAAACGGTGGCAGTGCAGGGTTGGGTGGCCGTTTATTAACTGCCTCCCCGCCCCTTGCTTGTGCACGCTCCCTGGGAGCGCGCAGCACCGCGATCCGGTGCCTGCTGTGTCCTCCGGACACAGTGGAACACCGATCGTTGGACAGGACCTCTCTGCGAGGTCCAGATCATGTGATCACCGATTGGCCAATCAGTGATCACATGCAGAGTAGTAAGCAAGATGTCACTTCTGACATCATTGCTTGCTACATGTGAAAGCTGTGAATGATAAGACTATTCACAACAGCCTGGTACCATGTGACAAGCTGTGACCAATCACAGCTCACACAGTAGTTCTCAATGGCTGCAAGAATGCAGCCAGAGAGGAGGAGAAATGATTGCTTTTACACCCATAAAGGTTGTAAAATCAATTGGTATTAAAAAAAAAAAAAAAAAAAAAAAAAATCTTCATCACCCCCCACAAGTAGTATAGTGTCACCATGGTGACACTGTACTGCTAGGGTGACAGTATGTTAAAAAAAAATAAAATGATATTGAAAAAAAATTAATAAATGTAAAAAAAGTTTTAAAAATATAATTTTGGGTTATAAACTAATTTGGGTTTTTTTTTTTTTTTTAACTAAAAAGATGATGGAATAAATTTTAGCCAAGATTTATGATGAAATATTTATTTGCAAAATGTTGTAAAACACCTTTTTTTTTCAATTTTTGGACTTTTTCATTTATATAGCAAAAAAATTAAAATCCCAGTGGTGAATAAATACCACCAAATAAAGCTTTATTTGTCACCAAAAAATGCTAAAAAAAATTCATATGGGTACAGTGTTGCATGACCGTTCAATTGTCATTCACAGTGTGATAACACTGAAAGCTGAAAATTGGCCTGGGCAGGAAGGGGGTGAAAGTGTCCGGACTTGAAGTAGTTAAATCACTTTTGTGCTGTGGTTTGCATACAGTCATTTACAGTTGGTATTTATTACAGGTCTTGAAATGGAACTTCCCTGCCCCTCGTGATGAGTACATCGAACAGCTCAAAACCCAGATGTCAGCGTGTCTTGCAAAATGGCTGCAAGATGAGCTTTTCCATGCAGATTTCCAGCACCACATAAAGGGCATAGCTGTGATGACTGAGGTGAGCAGAGATACTTTGGTGCAGGAAACACAGCATGCTTGGCGATACAAGCTTTTCTTGTTTGGTGTGCAGTTGTGATGAGTTCTTGATGTCATTTTAGCATCTGGAGAGTGAAAAGGAAGGTGTTATGAACTGCTTGGACCTCATCCTTAAATGGTTCACCTTGCGTTTCTTTGACACAAACACCAGCGTTTTGATGAAGGCCTTGGAGTATCTGAAGTTACTCTTTGCTATGCTTAGCCAAGAGGAGTACCACCTAACAGAGTTGGAGGCCACCTCTTTCATTCCATACCTGCTGCTGAAGGTGAGCGATTTTCAGCAATTTTTGTCTGGTGGCTGCTTGTGGAGGATGATGAGTTGCACTAAAGGGTTCCACGGTGCTGTGTAACTGTGGTGCTCCAGAGCCATTGTGTTGACAAAATCATGTGCACAGGGGCCAGCTGACTCCATAATGCTTCCACCAAGTTCAAACTTTCTGAAAAACTTAGTTTTGTAGGTAATTTGAATGCTGTATGTGGGTAATCTGACCTCCTGTATGTGGGTAATCTGAACTCTGTGTGATCTCGTCCCAGTTTATCAGATTTGTTTACTCGAGGAAATGTTCTGGGCATTTTGCATGTTCACATTCAGTTTTATGGTGGTCACCTATTCTTAAGCAAAGGATTGTCTAATCTTGGTTATCTGAAGCTAAAAAGAGGTGCTATTGGTTTGGGACCTTTTGTTTCAGTGCAAGGATGGCAATTATTAGCAGTAAGGCTTTTTATCAGCACTAGAAGCTGTGGGAAGCATGTTGGCAACAGTATGAATAAATGTTTTCCTTGTTAACCTCACAGGTAGTTGTCGGTAAAAATTGTCAAATGTCGCTTGCGTTTATAGTTTCCCCCGGACTGTCTAAGGTGACCCTTTAACCTCCTTAGCGGTATTCCCGAGTGTAGCTCGGGGTACAATTTCTATACCAAGAGCGGTAACCCTGAGCTACACTCGGGCTTACCATGCGGCGTTGCTCTGGGGGTCCCTGCAGCACTTACCTTGTCCTTCGCTCCCGCGATGTGTCCCCTGCAGCGTCCCCGGCCATCTTCTCCGGCCGATGCCGGCATCCGGCTTCTGTGTTCTGGTCCCTGTGACGTCGGGACGTACGGGCGCCGGAACCGGCGGGAAATTTGAAATTTTTAAAAAATGTCATTTTTGCTGTCATTGCTGTTTCAATGCATTTCACATATATTTGGTCCCTACTGCTTTGTCCTGTGCCCTGCCTGCATTTTGAATGTTCTTTCTGCCTAGAAACTTAGAAAAGTCCATGGCGTCCAAAAAGCGTCCCTTTACGTCAAAAGCGGTTTTAGAACAGCGATAGTAAATCAGAACCACTTGCAGAATTGAGTGATAATGATTCGTGGGGAAATTCGTCATCAGACACTGAAAACGATTTTGCGACTTTGCTCAGCGATGTGCGAATTTGCCTCTGTATTTCAAATTTCAGTGTTTTTTTGGTTTGATTATATTATTGAATTAAATGTATTATTATATTATTTTTTATGATTATTTATTAAATTCTTATTTATGATTTTGTGTTTCAAGATTTATCCTACCCGGGATGTTTACTAGACTCTTGTTCATACAGATTTCAGTGAGTTATTCCTAAAAATTACAGCCTACAATAAAAAACTACATATTTCCATGCAAAAAAAATGGTACCGCTTTCAGCACAAAAAATCGGAAAAAATCATACCGCCGAGGAGGTTAAAATTACAAGATCTGCCAGTTATGCATCACAGATCTACTGAGTCTCTTCCAGCAGAAGAAGTCCCAATCTTTTAGCCCCGGTTCACACTGATGCGGTGCAGAATTTGCAGCGTTTTCAGTGCGAATTCTGCATCAGAATCGCACCCCGTTCATGCGAACCGCTGCGGGTGTGTGTTAACAGCACCCCGAAAGCGATTCGCAAAATGCCGTGTGATGTGCAGAATTGGATTCTGCACATCGCACAGCGATCAGATTCTAGTGTGGACCCAAAAAAGGGTCCTGCACCTTTTGGGTGCGGTGCGATTTAGAGCCATACAAAATGTATGGCTCCAGTCGCACCGCACACAAATCACACGTGATTTGCACAGGAATGCGGTGCGAATCACATGCGATATACCGCACTGCATGTATGTGAGCCCAAGCTTAGAGTCCTGCAGTTACACTTTACTTTTCTGTTACTTGCTAGTGAAAATGGTGTTGCCTTTTTAATCCTAATTTACAGCGAACACCAAAATTAGGACTTTTTTTGTTTTTTTTTAAAAAGTGTTTTCATCTTCAGTGAGATTTAAAGATTGGTCCATGTCTGAAAGCAAATATTACAACCTGTTACAGCATTGGGAATTGAGCCCTTTGTCACTACATGAAAGGGTCCCCTTAAAGTAATCTGTAGTATTCTTGGGAGAGTTTTGTGTTTTTTCCATTGTTATATGATACTCGTTGTTGTTGTAAGTTATACCTGACATGATTCTGCACTCTTAGGTGGGCGAGTCAAAGGATGTTGTGCGGAAGGATGTGCGTGCCATACTGAACAAGATGTGCCAGGTGTACCCAGCTAGCAAAATGTTTAATTTTGTAATGGAGGGAATCAAATCCAAGAACTCCAAGCAGCGGGCAGGTAATGAGGAGCAAAGTTTTTAAAAATGTTGAGGGGAGGAGTATTGTGTGCAACACGTCTGCAATTGTTTTGCCTCTTCCATAGAATGCCTAGAGGAGCTGGGCTGCTTGGTGGAATCCTATGGTATGAATGTTTGCCAGCCTACGCCTGCCAAAGCTCTTAAAGAGATAGCTTCCCAGATTGGAGACCGTGACACGACTGTACGCAATGCAGCACTCAACACAATCGTGACTGTTTATAATGTGCACGGAGAACAAGTCTTCAAGCTCATTGGAAATGTGAGTTTATCCTACAGATTGGTGTATGAAGGTAGTTGCTAAATAACTCGCTGTGTATACATGTGCTTATTGATTCTCTTTTATTTTTTTCCTGCAGCTCTCTGAGAAGGATATGAGCATGCTGGAGGAGCGAATAAAGCGTGCTGGGAAGAAGCAGACAGTGGCTGCCCCAGCTAAACAAGTAGAAGAGAAACCTCAGCGTGTTCAGAGTGCCAATGCCAGTATGCTTAGGAAAGCACCACCTGAAGATATGTCTTCCAAACTGAAGTATGTTCAGCTGTGCGCTTGTAGCACCCCCCCCTCTCGTTTTGTTGTGGTTTTGTAGCAGTCTCTTCCAATTTTAGATATGCATTAAACACAGTAATCCAGTTCTGGTACCAAAAGAGCTTGGACACATCAAAGTGAAATGTACATAAATATAATCTGCATAAACCGTGCAGTATGTCCAGTTCATCCAGCCTACCTACATAAATTGTAGCGTAGGTGAATGAATTGAGCGACTTTATTGGTTGTAGTGGAGAACTGCACTTCATAAAAATAGTGCAGCGCTTAAAATGATAGTCCTTGTTCCTGATCAGTAAATGTTCCTCACAATCGGAATAGAAGACGTGCCCACTCACCAGAACCACACTTGGTGTGTTGCAGAAAGTTAGAATTGATTCCTGGTTTCCCTGAAGAAAAGCCTCTGGATCAGCACATGGATGGATATCCCTCTTATGGTCAAGCAAGCGCAGGATCATAGATAATTAGGCTCCGGCACAGAGTTCCCCTTAAGGGATATGTGGGTGTTGCTCTATAGTAGTAGTAGGAACCTCTCTCTCTGGTTATACTCGGAGCAGTACTGATTCTGAAAAGTGCTCCCCATCCGGGGTCAGAACAAAAGAGTACCCATAGTGTAGTATGGTTGGAAGAAATTAAACATTTATTCTAATTCGCAGGATGCATCCACAATGTATCAAAATCAGAGCGGCAGATAGCAAAAGTACACTGACCGTCCCTGAAATGAGATGGCCGCCGGAGCTCCACGATGCTCCGACGGCGTGACGTCAATAGTGCGAGCAGGCTCCTCCTTACGCGTTACGTGCCACGCACATCATCAGAGGATTGAGCTGGCTTTTCTTCAGGGAAACCAGGAATCAATTCTAACTTTCTGCAACACACCAAGTGTGGTTCTGGTGAGTGGGCACTTCTATTCCGATTGTGAGGAACATTTTCTGATCAGGAACAAGGACTATCATCATTTTAAGCGCTGCACTATTTTTATGATATTCTATATTGAGGTTTGTTTGGTTACCTTGAGTGCATAGCTGCTGAACTAAATTGCGCTCGCTTTATACT